ATCGCCGTCCTTGAACACTCAATCGGACTCGATTCGTTCAAAACTTTATACTTAATCCTATAATTAATGGGCTTTATGTTTGTTTTGTTTAGTATGTTTGTTTGTTGTTGTTTTTTGTGTACATGTTATATATTTATGAAAGACAGAAATATGGTTAATCTGTTTTATGTTTTCTTTTAAATGTAATTTATGTAATTTATTACGTCATATAAATTTAAATTTAATTTATTTTTTAATTTTAATTTTTTAATTTTTTTAATTTAACAAATTTATTTGGATCAATATATATATATATATATATATATACATATACATATACATATATATATATATATATATATATATATATATATATATATATATATATATATATATATATATATATATATATATATATATATATATATACACACACATATATATACCGGGTGTCCCAAAAAAAAGTACTCCTGTTTGATTCGTAATAACTTCTAAACAAGTAAGGCTTTTAAAGAGAAATAACTTGAACTCAATAGAGGAAGGATTAACTTAGATTTTGATATATTACAGTTGTATTTTACTTAAAATTCACGGAGATATTAATGTTTAAAATCGGGAGCATATTTCTCGATTTGTCTGAAACATGCAAAAAACGGCATATCAAATATTAATCAAGATTTGCCCGACTGAAACATGCACTATTACCAGTAAATAAATGACACTTGACAAATTGTTTATTATGAAACAAAGTCTGTATTATTATCTACAAAATACAAGCAAGATTTATTCGTCCGAAATCTGTGTGTGTTCCTAGCACGAATACGTTTCCTTATTTCATGAGACCACTGCATCGCGAAGGATTGTCATGGATCGTTCGTAGTTCTGAATTAGGGCATGCTGTCACAATCGAATTGTGAAGTTCTTCTAACTTTTGCAACGTTCTGAAATCTTGTTAAAAACACTCAAACTCTTTTTCTTGTCTTAATCTTTTTAATTTCAGAATAAACTGAGAATGAAACACGATCAAACCATACAACTCGATAAGACATAACAAGCATGCAACTCCCCAGAGACATCTAACATTTTTGGAACAAAACGTACTAACAAAATAGTAGCGTTGATACTGTGATGTGTATTTGCAAAAAGCAATATTATTTCCTTTATTGCAGAATAATATTCATCCTGCTCTAACCGAGAAATAATCAACTCTGTTTTTAATCCATGAAAAACATAAAAAAAATTAGGCTATTTAAGAAATTTTAAAATTTAAGCGCCTGCCTTACATGGTCTTTCATGTACCTTATATGTTTGTAAAGACCTATTAAATACTTGCATAATTTCGTACGTTCATATTTCAGGAAACAATGAGCTAAGACTTACATGTAAGATGTCTAAATCTATGCCATATCCCTTACAAACCCTAACGACAATTCGCTGAAATTCAAGTTAGCCTGATATGTTATCAAGCAAACAAACGCTGAAGTTAATATTTGATATGCCGATTTTCGCTAATTTTAGACGCATTCAAAAATATGCTCCCGATTTTGAACAATAATATCTCCGTGAATTGTCAAGTAAAATAGAACTGTAATATATCAAAATCTAAGTTAGTCCTTCCTCTATTTAATGCAAGTTATTTCTGTTTGATAGCTTTACTTGTTTAGAAGTTATTACAAGTCAAACCGGAGTACTTTTTTTTGGGACACCCGGTATATATATATATATATATATATATATATATATATATATATATATATATATATATATATATATATATATATATATATATATATATATATATATATATATAACACATTTGAAAGCTAGATCCAAAAAGGCAAGGTACGAACGGGACTCTTTGAAAAGTTCCCATGCAAGGCACCTTCCGGCGTCCAATTATATGATTATATGTACAGTTATATACTTATATACACATAGTATGCATATACGCACGCTCACAGACAAAGCACACACAGAGACAGGTTACACACACAGACAGGTTACACACAGACGCTTAAAGGCCATTTCCCACCGCAGTCGCCCCGCACGCGTGATTTTATCATGTGAAAAATTAGTTCTACTTTCATGGCGTGTCCGCGAGCATTCAGGCGGACAAAAATGAAATTTTGCATGCTTACGCAATAATTTGCTAACGTGATACGAACGGTTTAATTTAAATCAACGCAATATATGTAATACTATAACTTGAAAATGATGCACGCTGTAGCATCGAAACGTCGTTTAATAAATGTAATATCGCTATCATTTGTTTCAAAATTATTCCAGTATTGTAGGAAAAACGGTTAAAATAACCAGGAATTTAACGTTAACCCAGGGTTACAGTATTTCTAGGTTAACCAGACAAATTTTAACCATAGTGTTTTTAGATTATTTCATTTTTTACAAAAGTTGTTTAAGGCCATGTTACACCAGGCAATTTTTGCTGGAACCAGCAATGCAATTTCTGTTACAGAGCCATATTATTTAAAAAATATAGCCACATACAAATGTGAGCAAAGTCCGCATTCTCACTCTGTCGACATTTTCTTTACAAAAATGAAAAATATATATGATAAAAAATGTCGGAAGAATTAAAGAGCAAAAATTGCCCCGTGTAACACCGCCCGACAAAGTAGAAACTCAGATGTACCTGTCCAAGCGATATCGCCTACGGCACCAGAGTAACATGTGTCACCCTAAAAACAATAATAAATCATTCGGTTATCAGTATGTCGGGCGATTGCCGGGCTGGTCGACACTACTTCCTTCTTACCTGAACTGCTGCAGATATGCCAGTTTCACCAAATCGGGAACGTTCGTAGGACATTGAAATTTGAATTCCGCCTTCCCCAGCGTAATCCTCTGCAGCAACAAAGCAAATTGGTTTTATTCATTGAACTCAGTGCATATACTGACTGTAGATGCATTTACAAAAGCTTTTTTCCGCAATTGAAATATTTTTAGTCGGAGAGGTTTTGGCGTATACTTGTTGAATAGTCGGTTACCCGCTAACAGGTTAGGGTTGGGTGCGGGCAAGGTTTAGGGTAATTTACTGTTCAAAATAACGTGAATGATGTACAGTATGTACACATATGTAATATTGTATCGGACAAATAATGGTTACAAACTTCACAGTTCACGCCAGTGTCGGATGAATAACCACGGCATCAATTGTATCTACAGGTGTATGTACCACAGAATACCGCAAAAATTTACATGTTCCATATCTTTTGTCTAATGTATATAATATGGTTCCTTAATATTTTTTAGTATAGTTTATCGATATATTTTTTCTTCCTGGGGGTTTTGGGGCAAGATTTCATAGACTTAATTATTTTTTTTTAAATGAATATTCTGCGGAAAAAAAAATCCAATGTACCACAGAATACCAGTGCAGAGGTAAGTAAGCAACGGTTTATCGAATTGTACCAGGATTTGGTGTGTCGTGTTGTATGATAATACTGTGGGATATTGCCAACTTAATTTAGTGAAAGTTAAACACTAAAATCAGTACAGAATACCAGTGGTATAACCAAAGAATACCAGGTTTATCAATAATTTTGAAAAATTCAGTTTTTCAATGGTAAAATTGATTACACTGTGTGATTCCAGTGTACTGTAATGTTACATTGCATAGAAAAAGTATTGATCAACGTAAATTATGCTGGTTTGCGAACTTATTTTTAAACACTCGGATTTTATAGGCATTATGCGAAGTACCAAAAATATAGAATGTTACTTTTTGTTAATCCTCATTATTTTTAAAAAATTTTGAGAAAATATACATTTTTTTGTTTTTATATGTCAATTAAGACTAAAACTAATATATAATCACAAAAATAAAGTTTATAGCATATTTCCTTCAAATTTTATATAAGAAATAAGACTGGTATTCTGTGGTACCGTGGTACATACACCTGTATTACGTTTTTATCCACATACACCTGTATTACGTTTTTATATTAAAAAAAAAACATGTTGTGATTACTAAACACTTATCTTGGCACATGTGTAATATGAGATGCCCCAAAACCCTGATATTTACCCATATACCTTACCATGGCATCACCATAGCATAACATGAACTTGCGGTTAGAGCTCGACAGCTGGACTCTGTAGCTCAGTTGTTTAGAGCGCTGCACCGGAATCGCAGGTTCGGATCCTGCCCGAGGGCCTATACAATCCAGATGATCGTGATACGCGGAAAAGTACTGGCACTAGTTGTCAAATAGAAATCCATTTTATGATTAAAACAACTGAATATCTCCTGTAATATACTTTATTTCGATTCCATATTTTTGTCAGAGCTATAGTTCTCATAACCAAACATAATTACAGAATTTCAACTAGTTTCATAAAGAATAACGAAAGATATGATTGACTGAATACATCAAAATGGATTTCTATTCGGACAACCCTTTCTGAGCGCTGATTGGCTAAAATACGAACACGAGATCACCTGGATGTAGTTGCATTTTCGCAGCTACTCATGGTTACTATATGTCTAAAGTTACATCATGGTTGGTTCATCATAGTTCATCATGGTTGCTCATGGTTACTGTAGGTCTATAGGTTTACTGTAGGTCTTACATCTACAAAATCCTTCAATATTTGACCCTCAGAAAGACCGGAAATTCAATTAAAATTTTGTATTCTTAGCTTCCATTCACTTTTAACTTCCACGTTTGCCTGGTAATGATCTAATTTAACTATCTTCGCATTATTGCGCGAAGTGTCTGGCAAAGTTCTCAGGTTTAACACAGGCAGGTCTTGAGTAAATGTCAGTCGTTAGTGTAAGTTCAGGAGGCTTACAATCCTACAATTTTTAAATGTAGTATATATTAAAGGTCCTCCTCGATCCTACATGCTAGGAAAAGTTATATACATAACGACTTACTAGCATTTTTGGAAGAGATTGTCAATATTTCATCCTCATGTGAGCCATCGTTTTTGTTTAGAATCAAACAAACTCCTGGCAGCGAGTCCTGGCATTCATTGGTCCTGATGGGGTGACAATATGTCACGAGTGGCCTGTGGGAACAAACCTAAAACAATACAAGTTGCATAAATATACTCCATTCAAATGTGAATTTCACAAATGATTTAACAGTATTTTCATTCATTTTCAAGCTTAACCATTTAGCATTTCAATGAAGGGTTACTTGTAAAATATGAACTACAGTAGTGGTTCACAAAAAATGTATTTCAACTGACTGAGACTGGAGAATCATTGTTCCAATTTTGTTTATTGCTGAAATTACTGTTGTAATTTTGTTACCAAATCGAGAAGAATTAAATTAAAGCATTTTGGAAATGGTTCATAACTACTGCTTTCAATTTATTTGCTACCATTACAGTACATGCATTGCGGATCTGGTTCAAGCTTGCATCAACTTTACAGTACATTACAGCGCTAAACAAAGACATTGTTCCAATTTTGGTATGGATTTAGGAGTTTCAAACAAGAAAGTGTGTTTACAACAAGCAAATATCTTAATAGATTTTGCAGTTCATCAAACAGTAATGTATGGTGTTATTATGGACAATAAACACTTGAATGTAAACTACAGTGTCTGTGGTAACTTCACTAACTTGAACGGTTGTTGCCACTGTAGGTAGCAATGATAACTAACATCAGCCGTATATACTGTAATACCATGATCACCTCGGGTTCTGTTGTTCCAAGCGGGCATTAAAATCTCTAAATTCTCTCTGAGCGGGCAATTTACTAATTTGCCCGCTCAACCGGGCGATTTACTGTAGTAAATTGCCAGCAATTGTATAGATAAATAGATAGACTTTATTTAACCACGCTAACCCCGTCAACCGAAGCTGATTTCCACAGGGGGCGTGTATAAAAGAAATTACAGAAGTATAAACTTTAGAATAATTATTTACAGAGTATTAGAAATAGTATTAGGCGTGCAAGTATATTAAAGTAAGTAATGGGAATATAACAATCGATTTACATTGTACATGACAACATTTGTTGTCTAATTAAAAATGTGAGCGGCAATTTTCTTTTGCATGGAAGCATGATAGAGATTTGCTCTCTCTAATTTCATTTGGAATAGAGTTCCAAAGCCTAGCATCATCATACATAAAACTCTTTTTCATATTATTGGTACGTGGTTGTGGCAGGCAAAGACCACTTGAAATATTTCGAAGTTTATAATTTGTTATATTCTTATACGTGAAGAGGTTTGTGAGAGACTCAGGGCCTATTTTGTTTAACGTTTTGTACATCATTCTTGCTTTTGCCTTTTTTCTTATTCTATCAAGTGGCTCCCAGCCTAAAGCATTTAAAGCAATAGAATGATCTACATCATTGCTGAAATTAGAAATAATTCGAGCAGCTTTGGTCAAACATCCAAACAATACCTTCATACACAACAATAAAAATACTTTTTTATGTACCGTTAATTATTACATACTTATAATAGTTTTGCTTGTGGAAACACCACGTAAATTTATTACTGCAAAGCTTTCGATCCTTAAGCCCAGATCTTCATCAGTGCTAATAATATGAAATAATAATAATAATATTGAAAGCTTTGCAGTAATAAATTTACGTGGTGTTTCCACAAACAAATCTATTATATGTTTTTATCGCCATGCAAACATACAAAAAACATATTACATGCTTGTTTGGATTCTCATTTACACAAGTTTTAAACAATAGAAACTAATTACGGTAGCATGACACGAGGGAAAATTAGTGATTAACCCTTTAAGCTGGAGTTACCCAAGCAACAAAATTGCTGCAACTTGCAACAAAATCTGATTTCAATGCATGTTAAGTAGAAATGTTGACACATGTTGCCTTGTGATTTGTAATTTATGTGTAACATTTCTAACATGCGTTGAAATCAGATTTTGCTGCAAGTTGTAGCAATTTTGCTGCTCGTGTAACTCCACCTTTAAGTGTCAATGCACCCTGATGCGCCCTACTTTAGTATTTTACTCTGTCTAACGCCAGACGATTTTACTCATCAAGTGGAGAGTGCTGCCACTCAATGGGTTAAATGCCCCAAAGGCTCAGGAGGTTTGTGGAATTATTTATAAAATTATTTATAATAAAAGATACAACAACCTGAAAAATACAAACACAACTTTTCAGCTAGTTGTATCTCCTACATACATGTACTAGGCTTGAGGCTTGGGCGGTTTACCAGTTTTTCGGATTTGATTTTAAGCAAAACCGCCCAAGCCTAACATGTACAACTGCTAGTAACTTACCATGACTTTGCCATCTTGTTGTCTTCCACCACCAACTGAAACACCATACCATCCATTACTTGGATTATAAACGCTCCCAGGAGCTACAAATTAAACACAAATATTCACAATAAACAACTGTGCTGTACAATAAAGTATTACTCTGTATATGGTTGGGTTCAACTAGATCTAACCTCATGAATTGAGTTTTAAATTTGGAAGTCTTCAAGGCAACTAAATTCAAAGTATGCTTTTTAGATCACACACATCAATATTTTCCTATGGCAATGTTTCAGAAATATTTAAATGTTGGCCAATTTCAAAATCTTGCCTTAAACTCTAAAAATGCTGCTTTGTTACCCTGATACAAGGTATATATTGCTGGAAAAACTAAAATGGAATTTAATCTTATGCTTGTTTTTGCCAGCAGAATATAGTTTAGTTAAATAATGTTGATGATTGCTGACTTGAATTGTAAGGTCTGAATAAGAGGAGCACTCAAAATACCTACTGTTCATGTACACTATATATATATAGATAATGTAAGTGACTAATTTACTGATTACAGATTATTATATAAAATGGATGATTTTGCCAATTGTCAGGGGCGAAACTTGAGGGGGGAAAATTTTGTATTTTTCCGCTTGCTTCAGCATGTGTTTTGAAACACAGATTCGACTTTGTTGTTTACAATCAGTGAAAAATGCATGACACAAATGGGTAGAGAATATATTCATTACCTGTTTTCACTGCTAAACCTTCTTTTAAGATTGTATGTTTGAGCAGAAAACATTTCTTTTAAAATATCTCTTTGAACTGTGACTTTTTAATGTTAAGTGGCCAAATACATGAGCATTTTGAACAAAAATATAGCTTTTTTGGCATATGTTTTATATACATGTATGTCAAATAACTTGCTGACTTTCAGTCGCATTTCTCTCAAAATATTGTCAATTCGGGTGTACATCGTGTAGTAGAAGTAGTAGTACGAAGTCCTTAGATGCAATTCATTTTCAATCATGTTCTGACTATCGTTACAGTCAGGGACGGATCCACACTGTATAGCAACTGTAGCAAATGCTACAGTCAGATTTTCCTGCAAAATTATTTTTAATGATTAAGTAAAAATTCCTTATAGAAGTTTTCCAGTTTCTAGAGAAAGTGGAAAACTTCTATAAGGAATTTTTACTATCATTAAAAATAATTTTGCAGGAAAATCTGACTGTAGCATTTGCTCAAAAAAAATAAACTTCCGCAACTTCAACCAGATGTCCATACGTATTTTGTGAGCTATGAATATTAAGTTACGCTTTTACATGCTTATCTTAAATTAACCTGAATTTTCCTTGAAACAACGCCCACTTTTAGGGAAAATCACCTAAATTTTTAAAACATAGTTCAAAAAGCGTTCAGAAAAGTGGTCTAGTAAATATACCGATTTATGACGTCAAAATGCTACAGTCAACTGGGGGTCTTACAGCAAAATGCTACAGACAGCGGGGAGGGGAGTTACTAAATTTAGCATTTTTGCTACAGTCAGATGAAGCAAACCAATTACAGTGTTGCAATGCGCTACAGTCAGCTACAGTTGCGCAATGTGATAGGAACTTTAGAGCGATGTTATTTGGCTATATTTGTTTGCGCTTTTAACAAGCCAATTTCTTTCAAAGAAAAACTAAGTAGACTAAAGCGTTATGTGAGGATGCCATCGGGAGCAAAGTTAATTAAGGCCGATCGCCTGAAAGATCGTAAAGTATTTGTGTGTGATTTTTCTAAATTACAATTCAAAATTTGCTGAATGAGCGCGCTCGTTGAACCACGTTCCGGTCAGGTAAGCTTATGTGGGCCTCAAATTTAGCGGCGGCCATGGCGGCCACTGGCCGTCGATGCCCTGCTTGTGGGCGCTATGCCCTCTGAAATCCACAGCCAGTAGTGGCCTGCCCTCAACCCCAGACTACAGTACTTAGGCTTTAGAATACCAAGTGTATGATTTGTAAAATTGGCAATAAATTTAAAATAGTATTTAAATGCACCTTTCCATTAGTCTGTCTGTTGAATCATGTATTAATTTAAAATATCCATAGTTTTGTTTGGCATTTTTTTTAATATTGTTGCTGTTCTGTATATTTTTCTTGTCTCATGGAAACTCAAACATTATTTGAAACTTCAAAGTAGCAACTGAATAAAATTTCCAAACTGGCCTTGAATCTTGATGCCCTAGCTGTGTACTGGCCTCGATGCCTTGAAAAACTTAGTAACATTCAACAGACAAACTGGCCTTGCCTTTATTTTTCTCAAGTTCGAGGCCTGCTTATGAATATTAGAATATAACAATAAACAGAATATAAATGTAATCTCAAACACTCCGTGCCAGTGTTTGGAAATTGCGTGCCGAAAATTTAATAGTAAATATATAGATAGCATCAAAATTGCGTGGCCAATATTTCCACCGCGCGATACAAACTTTCCATACTGGTAAATGATAACAACACAAAGCTTATATATGTTACACATGTGTGGTATGATATTAAGTTACATATTAATATGGGGAGGAAGGCTGGTCTTAAACTTTGCATACAGTAATGTACAGTAGATCTGGTATGATTTGGTATGTTGTTTAAACATTTTACTGTCTTTACGTGTTTTTGTAACTTTTTGTCTAAAATATGGCCTTATTAAGGTTAAATTTTAGAACAGAATTTGATGCTCAGAATGCAGGAAATGGTGTTTCCGGGGTTCAAATTCCAAAAATGTTCCACAGGGGCATGCCCCCGGACCCCCCAGATTACGTGGTGCCACCTCATTTTGGGATTATGCTACAGTCAGTCTTTTAGCTGGATCCGCCCCTGCGTTAACTATGTTTTTGAACTTTTTGGGGAGAATTTTTAGTTTGAAAATTGTTTCACTCCTTGATTTTGGCACGAAAACCAGAGCAGGCCGATTTCCTTTCAGAACACCAGGCCACTCTGAAAGACTCCTCAGCCAATCAGATTGTGCCATTTGTGCTCACCAAAAATAAATAACCTTCTGTGTACTTGTCATCCACAGGGGCGTAGCCAAGGGGGGGCAATCGCAAAAAAACTATTCTCTGAAAAAGGCTAAATCCATAGAGAAATGGGGGGGGGGTACACGTTACATCCTCGAAGCTGAAACGGATTAAGTACGTCTCGACTGAGGAAAACGACGAAATACTGGAAGAACTTGATTTCTAAAATCTCGTTAAAACAGTTGTAGATATGGTTCCAAGAGGAATAGATTTAGTTTAGATTTACATGTATATGCATTATGATAACATGAATATTATTCTCAGACTTATTCTGTATCATATATAAAAAGCAAGTAGAAACTTAGAAATGTCTGGGAAAATTTATGTCTTCGACGTACTTTATAATCTTCGGGATTCTGCAAGATTTCACCCCCAAAATGCTTGAAATCACATTTCAGGGACTCTAAATTTTAAAATTTTCCCTGGGCTGCATGCCCCCGAACCCCCCTAGAGCGTACTTTATAATCTTCGGAGAATTCTGCAAGATTTCACCCCCAAAATGCTTGAAATCACATTTCAGGGATTCTAAATTTTAAAATTTTCCCTGGGGTGCATGCCCCCGAACTCCCCTAGAGCGTACTTTATAATCTTCGGAATTCTGCAAGATTTCACCCCCAAAATGCTTGAAATCACATTTCAGGGACTCTAAATTTCAAAATTTTCACGGGGGTGCATGCCCCCTGACCTCCATAGATGGTCTCGCGCCTTCGGCGTTCGCTTCGCCCCCCCAAAAATGAAGGTCTGGCTACGCCACTGGTCATCCAGTCACAGAGTATTAATATACAGAGGCTTATCTCAATGAGGCACCTTTGATGTTGGCGTAAGGGCTTTTTTCGAAAAATCTGCCATGTTCCTAGCCAGTCCAGTAAAGAGAAGCCACCTTTTTATGTAAACTGCGCATGTGCAGGTACTGGCTAAGAACATGGCAGCAAAAGGAAACACCTTAAGTACGGTTTTTTTAGCTGAGATAAGCCTCTGTATGAGGGGGGTGAATAGGGGTATACAAATCCGCCAATCCGGCCAAATTTGAAGCAAAATCTGCAATCCGACAATGGATTTGAATCCGCTAAAAGCTCTACTATGAAGTCACAATCCAGGATCCGAACTAAATTGCAAACTAAATCCACAATTTGAGCCAAAATATTAGATAAATCCGCAATCCGCTGTATTAATAAGATCCGCAAATCTGTGTAAAATATTCGCCAGATCCGAAATCCGAACAATTTTTTCTGTGAAATCCGACGATCCGAAAACCTATTCCACCTCTGTATGTTACTCTGTGATCCAGTACTTTATAGTGAAACACTGAAACGACAACCTCCTTTAGACCACTTGCCTCTACACACTTCAATACTTCAGCCATGTTTGTTAAAATTGTTATAATGGCAACACTTACCTTGTCCAATCTTCACGGTTATATCATCACAATTTGACGGGTCCATATTAATCGGACACTTGTACAGAGCCCCACTACTCTTATCGTCAAATTTATTTAATACACGACCCGTTCTGTAGTCTAGTTTTGATGTATTAGCCCTTGGACTGCCTACTGCCACCCTAAAATGACAACAGAATGTGCACTTTATAAATAATACAAACATTTCTCACACGACACAAACAAAGAGTAAGAAATTACAAGTATATAAAAAAGCTTGAAAATATCAGTGTTTATAAACACTCGAGAGTACTAACCATGCTCCACCGATGCCATCAATAACTCCTGTCGCACTAAAACCAAAATATGAGGCGGCTGTGTGTGTCTTGTGTATTGGACCAATTTTAGTATTGATGTTATGGGTTAAAGAAATAGCTATACAGCAACAAGTAAACAGCAGAAATCGAAGCATTTTCAAACAGATTAGATTATAAACTACACTCAATATGAGTTGTAAATGAACAGATGGTCGAAGGTGGTCGAACCCAGGTCATAACAATTCATGCGATTAACCCGCACATCACGGCACACCCAAATATTTTGCATAGCTTGAAGGCTTTGATTAAAGTGGCTCTATACCGTTTATGGTAAACGCCGAAAAGGGATTGAAATAATTGAAATAGGTTTGAAACAGACGTCTAACCAGTGGCAGCCAGTGGTGTCAAGTAACGAAATCTTACTTGGAACGAAGTCGTTTTAAATTAAGAAGTAACGTTTACTTCGTTATTTCATTTTGTGGCGAAGTATTTTGTTACTTTCTAACTTTTGTTTAATTTTACGTGATTTATTCCTGATTATTTATTTTCATTTTGGGATAGGTAATAGGTCCTCTACATGCGCCTGGCTGTTCTGGGATCTTTCTTTTGTGGCTTACTTATTTATTTATTATTTATTTAATGGATTTCTATAACTTCAACGGGGTCTGTAAGGTAGAACATGACATGAAATATTGTACATTAGGTGCACGCATACAGCTAATTCAAAAAAGTTTGTCTTTTGCAAATTTTAAACCCTACAGACCTTAAAGTTTCAAGCTTAGTAGTTGAATATTTTATGCTCCCATTATGCTTTGCACGTTTAGAGTTTAAGGTTTAGAGTTTAAGAGGCCCACCAAGGGGTTATGACAGACAGGTGACATTCCTTAAAAAGAGGTGACAGACTATCTAAAAAAGAGCGACAAACGACAGCTTCTGACTGGGAAAAAGCGACAAATTGCAATTTGTGTTATGGGTCAAAAGTGACAGCGACATTTATTACAATAAAACAAGCGACAAAGCAGCCACAAAATTAGTGAAAGCGACCTACGTTACACCCTTGGTGGGCCTCGTTTAAGATTTGCAAAGGATAACTTTTTTTGAATTAGCTGTATAATGCGTGTGCTGTTTTGTGTTTTTTGTGTGTCAATCCATGGAGAAGTCCCCCCCCCCCTCCTACATGCCGCTACAGACAATAGTATATTTACCAGACATTCCAACTCTCCCGATTTTACCGGGAATTCTCCCGAATTTTTAGAATATTCAGGAAAAATCATAAATATACTGTTTTTAGCACCATAATAGTCTGTCTTGACCTTTTTATGAAGTTACTTTATGGCAATTTATAGGATCACTTATAACAACATACTCCCAAAATGCAGGAAACGCCATTTCAGAACACTTAATTTTTATTACTTTTTCCCAGAAGAACTAGATTTCAATTCATTAATGAACAGTCTCCCTAAATTTTACCTCCAGTAGCTGGAATGTCTGATTTACTTTTTACTTCATTGTCGATGGTATTCCGCGAAAGGGCCTGGTACGAACCCATTGGAACTTATGGAAGTTTCTGTAGTTCCTATATTTTTGAAGCAGCCAAGTTCCTCGCCGGATGCGTGCGTACCGTATTGTATTCACCGTGGTCAGGCAAACTTTTCAGCTTGTCCGGTGTGCCAGCACACTCAGAGTAACATCACAAACATCATATTCACCTGAATACATATAACACAGACACACACAAAAAAATGTAACTAGCAATCGGTTTAAACCTCAACTGAATTGGTTACCTCCGCCAGGAGTAAAATATGTTTTCAACAGCGTTTGTATGTTGTCTGTGTGAAAGTACATGTGTGTGACAGCAGAATAACATTTAAACTGATCAAACGTATTAACATTGAGTACGTTGTGGTTAAATTTGGATGAAAATTAAATTAGCAAAACTTTCTCTCAGCTATACTCAACCACGTTCCCAGGCTTAGCCCATAGAATAATTTATGCATAAATCAATTCCCTGGCGGAAGTTTTAATAGTAGTTGACTTTGGCGAAAATTCAAGCTAAGACGAACGTGACGATGACGGATTTGGTGATATCTTTAAATAGATAAATGAAGGCGTATCTTATATATGCACATCTGGCCTGCTGGCTGAACATGTTAAATGTAAATTCTTCACAAGAGTAACTTGGGCACAGCTGTTTGCTGAGCTCTTTTTTCCTTCGAGAAAATGATCCTGATAATGATATGCGTCTTACTTAGACATCTGTTCTCCAACAAGCATTCTCTGATAAGCATTGAGATACGAATTTTCCCAATTTCGTTCTGTCCATGGCCATAGACGTTCTTGTCTCACTCAGCATAGTAATGTTCTTTTCCTTATAGGCTGTCAGACTATTCGGAGTGAGTCACTCCGAATAGTCTGACAGCCTATAAGGAAAAGAACATTACTATGCTCTGATTACTAGGCTGGGTAAGTAACTACCTATAAACAAGGACGCCGGAACGATGAAAAGGCAAGGGGGGGGGCAAACGCACACCAAAGGGCACCTCTGTAGACCCCGGTGAAGATATAAACCTACAATTATGTGCTGACTTGCCAATGAAAGCAAACGCACCTAATCAGGTCACATTCAAGATCACACCTCATGATTTTGCCCATGCAAAAAGCATCACTGGAAACGTGATTTATTAAGTAGTATTTTATAACGCAAAGAGCACTTCTGCTCTTTTTGCCCCTCCTAGAAAAAGGCAAGAGGGGCAGCTGCACCTCCTGCCCCCCAGTTCCGGCGTCCCTGCGCTATAAAACCTCGCACGCGCGAACAGGCTGCGAAGGAGACTAGGAGCCGTGCCCAAAAATTTTCAATCAGGAGGGCTGCCACTTGTAGATGTGATTGAAAAAGTTTTAGATAAAATATGTCGACCAAAATCACGAGTATGATCGCATAGTAAGGTACTGTTTTTAACCGAAATCTGTATATTTATACTGTATAAAAAGGCGGCTGTACTGTAATTCAAACATCTGTCAAATAACAGATTTCTTTTCAAACAGAGTATGTTGCACCGTAATTTGCAATTACAGTGTACTTACTCTAAAATATTACGATCAAACACATGTCAAATAACAGTTTTTTTATATACAGTCCATTATACTATAATTTCCGATCAGTACAGTATATATACTTGCTGTAAAAAATACTGAAAGTACATTATTCGATAAAAACTGTCGCCTGCAAGACCGATTATAGGTGAGGAATAATAAATCAGTTAGGCGTGTATTTTGTTCCATGGGTACGTTGCATGGAGAAGGTTCGTGCTACTGTCAGTCGCTGAAGACGTCTAGAGAAACAACTGTTACGTTTGGCGTTCGAGCATTGCCACGTACGACGTTGCCATTGTGCCCAGCATGCAACCATTAGCCAAACTTGATGCACCTTATCCTATACGGCCTAACCATAACACGAACCCTAAAGTAAAGCGAACACACCTAAAGCTTCTATTCGGCTCAAGTCCAGGTAACCTAGGTAACGAACTCTAAGTTTAACTATCATGTAATATCTCCTTCTTGTCCATACTTTTAGTCATCACCTTAATTAATTAAGAACACCGAAGTACAACCTCGATGTTGGTTTGATAGGTTCACAGAGTTATTCGAATGTGAAGGTATACGACCTTGGCTTGTCGCTTTCTGCCAGTGATCACCTTATAAGTTACGACAATTATCCTTTTGCTGTACACTAATGGAATCCATGTTACGACTTTACCCCCCC